GATAGACTGGTGACCTGTCCAGGGATGGATTTCTTCACCATGTTGGCTCGATGTTATAGATCTTTGCCTTATTAGAAGATTCAATGCTGCTCAAGATTCTCTGCGACTTCTACAAAGTTTAATTCATCATTTACATCTCTAACACAATGCCTTACATTCTTTTGTTACTTGTTTGAGTCATTTCCAGCCATAAGAATCCCACTAGGCAAATCAAACTCATTATACATTTTACTTTGAGTACGGACATTTTTGGGCTTACCTGTGTGACAGGAACCACAAATACATTTTTGTCCAGTGAACAAAACCTGTGTACAACCTGGTGAGGTCTCTGTGCTTGCTAAGGGTGAGCTAGAGTCTGACCTCTCCTGCAGAGCTACTAATGGTCTGCTATCAGCTGTCAGACTGGGTTTGTGCCAGCAGCAGCCAGACACAGTGGGTGAGGAAGGAGGGTGGTGGGGGGTATGGGGGGTGTCACCTCTTCCTGGTCCAGCATCTGCTCCTTCAGCTTCTCCACCAGCTGAGACTGCTGGTTGATCTCATCATCCTGGAGGAAGGTAAGAACAGGAGGACAGACAGAGCAAAGGAGGAAGATCACACATCACTCATGTGTCTCCACAATCACAGCCAACCGCGACACCTACTGGCCAAAAGAAATACTGCACGTGAGAAGGACACTAATCAGAGACGTCTTCGATTTACAATAGAATAAACATGCTGTTGTTATTGCTGTGCTTGAATTTAGATTTTTTTTAAAATCTCTTGATGTAAGTTATGAAATTGTGACATAGTTATTAGGATGTGACCCTCTGAACCCCTAGACCTTGGTTCTAAAAGGGCACGTTGTCTTTAAAAATTGCTAAAATTACATCATGTATCAAAGAATCCAAAAAACTTTAAAAACAAAAAGATTTTTTTTTAAACTTTGCAATGGTTTTTGAATAAATCGTGTACTGTATGGGCTTCCATTCAGAAAAATAACCCAAATCTAAGCTTAAAATTGTGATATTTTATTAAAATAACAAAATATAAATAAATAGACTGTTTGTACCAGATAAACTAAAACAAACTGTGTGTCCTCTGGCACAAATGTGAAACAATGAGTGACTCAGCTGTGAGCAACAATCCCAGGGCAAAAAGTTCAAGTTGTTGGAAGATGCACTCAGCGTGGCAAAATATCTGGCTAGAGTTATTGTGCAGAGTTATGAGTATAAAAATGTAGATAGTTAAATATGTATTGTATGCAGAGACCAGAATTGGGCTGAGGGCACTTGGAATAATTCTGCAAATATGGCATTTGATAACTCCAGATTTTTTCAATTTTTGTGAAATACATAGTCAAAAAATGTCAACTGTTTTGCATCATATTGCACAGAAGACATTTTTGAGTTCTCTCTTCTTCTCGCCATTGCTGTGCTGTTTCTATAAAGGTGTGGGGGTTAAAATTGCAGTAACAATGAGGCCACAGTGAGAAAACATGTGAGAGGAGAAAACAGGGGTTTAAACAAGCCTGATAATTACTCTGTTACCTCCAGTCCATTTGTGAGAAGAGGGGCAAAAAAGCAAAAAGCAAATATTTTAGATATAGACATTGAAAGTAGACTTCATATATTTTTAGCGGAGGCCTGGGTTTTGCCTGCTGGCCACTGTTTTTCTTTGACTGATATAGCCAGAAGTCTTATTTCACTTGAGAATGAACAACAAATGTACTTCATGAACAGACTGCATATGAGAACATTCTTACAAGCACACTGAATATTCACTAATAATGCCTAAACATAGTTTCAGCTTAGTATTAATATATTTTTGCACTTTGCACTGATGTTTTATGTGTTGTCCTTTCATACTTTCAGGTCGTCTTAACTTGATAGATGTCATCACCTTTGATCAGGGACATTGTTCTGAACTATCCAACTACCCTCCAGGGATGAGCTTTGAAGGATGTGAACACGCTGCTAGATGCATCTTTGGTGTGGATATACCAGCTTGCACAAAAGACTGAACTTTTTTGGAGGCTGTGAGAGAACAAATGACTCCAAACATGTACAGCCTCATTACCTTGTCGTCCATCTGTTTGTAGAGCTTGGCCATCTCTTCCTCGTACTTCCCCGTCTCTGCGCCAGTGAGTTGGACTCCAGGCAGGATGTTGAGGGCCGGTTTGGGTGCTGCTGCCTTATCATTGCTCGTAGCAGTGTCCAGGGCCTGGACCTCTGCTTTGGCCTTCTCCTTGTCAAACTGCTCCTCCACCGGCACATTCTCTCCTGCAGGAGGCAGCAGAACGGAGACATGAGAGCATCAATGCTCCTTCAGAGAAAATGTTACGGCAAAGGAACCACATAAAAACTCTTCAAATGATTTATTTAAGGTGACAATAATATAAAATAAATATGCAGATGATATTCATGAACACTGTTGTCTGATATGGGACTGAGGCAGGTGTGATCATCCACGTTCTCTGAAGTGGACGACAGTAATATTGTTCATGGTGCTGCTAAAATGGAAACAAAGGACTCTTTCTTTAACCGCGGCCTTTGAAGGTCCAAAATAGGTGTGTGTGACTCAGCTCTAACAAGAAAAGAGCTGAATCACTGTGGAGCTGGACTAAATGAGACTGAGTAGATTCTCATCATCCAAGTCATGGTATTCCTCAGAACAGGGACGGCAGGTATAGAAACCCTGCATGGAGCTGGTGTGTCTGAGAACACCCAAACCAGGCTGAGCAGTGTTGTATGTGCAGTCCAGTGCAGCGAGGGGTGCACAGACCTATATATAGAGGAGAATAAACAGCAGCTTCTTAAGCGCATGGATACAGGAGAGCCAGG